TATATATATAAAAAAATAAAATATGCACTGAAGCAACATTCACAAATACCCAGTTGTCTCAATTGTCTGTGTGTACAGTATAGTACATATATACATTCACTGTGACACAGGCCATCTCCATAATTATACCTTCACGGGTGCTTTGGGCTGCCTGGTTAACTTCAGTGCCTGTGAACAGTAAACAAAACAGTCACTTTTTTATGTTCTCAAAAGACAACCAACAGCACAAGACAAGATTTTGATCTATAAGGGGCAACAAAATGCTGCGTGTGCTTCTGGGAGGCTGAGCGAGGAATCAGCATGCAGCTGCCAGGCCACTCTGGGGTTCGTGACGATGTTTTTATCTCTGATACCCCATCACAACCTCCTCATACACAGATAGCTCTAACAGAGGAACCACGAGGAATACGGCAACAGGGCCGGTGAAGGAACCGAAGGTGGGTCTCAGATGTCTTTTAGAAAGCAACTGCTTGGACCCACTCAAATCACTTGTGGCACAGATATGAAAGCTTCTGACCCACTTAGGGCAAAAAATTTCTGCCAACACCTTTGTGTTTTCCCTGGCCTCCTTCCATATGGCTCGAAGCCTGCTCAGAGTATAGGCACTGCTACAGCGGTGGCTGTCACGCATCTGCAATGTTTATACCTTCCCTTCTGAGAAAAAGGTAAGAATAAACCAAAGTCCAGCAGTCCAGAGGTGATTTTATGCTAGGGGACACCCGACATCTTTGTAGCTCTAGTCTGCTGAGGAGGAGAGAAACCACATGCCTTTATTTGATGGCAGAGTCCAGCTCTGTGTTCTCCACGGGGCCGGCCAACTACGGTAGCTGAACTGTGTATTCAGTGTGTGACACAAGTTCAACTCCAATGCTAGGTGATCACACCCTCAGTTTGGCAGAAAGCAGCCCCTCTAACTTAGGAGGCAAATGCAACAGGCTTAAAAGGCGCGTGGTGTGAGCTGCTCCTGTGTATATACCCATGCGGTCACTGCGAAGGATGCCTGTTGCCAGTGTGCTCTGCGACAGAAAAGCTCAATGCTTTCTGGCGCAGCACGAATCGACCTGAGCGAGAGGGAAATGTGTGAAATTTGCAGATTCCTGAAATCTGGAACCTCTGTTTTCCTTAGCCTTTTGGGGGTAAGTGCCCCGACAGACTGGCATTTGCCTGCTGAGTGAGAGACTTCGTGTTTCCGGAGGATTGGCTAAACTAGCAATTTTCAGTCTGAGAGATGTCTGATGGGTCTTCTTATTGTAGATATTAACCTTTAATATTGTACATTTGAAGCTTGTAAGCACTGCTTGAAAAATGTTCCAGCACAAATGTAAACCCTTAAAAAAAAATCCAAACCTTTAAAAATAAATAGACTATATTCCCCTCAGAAACACCAGCTTTCAGAAACACCAGCATTTAACTATTGTTAAATCTAGCCGTTTGAGATTAGTCTTTTGGATATTATTCAGCAAGAGAGTTTGGAGAGAGACATCATTCCACATTTTGTTTGGGGAAACAATTTTTTAACTTTGTAGTTTGGCAGATTCTGCTGCCGTATTTACAAACTAGAAATACCTTAGTGTAGATGAACCTCTAAATATTTAAATTCAATTTCATACAACGAGATCACATGTACTATCATAATTAAGTAAGAATGTCACTGCAGTTGAGTACTGTGACTGGATAACTGTCTCCCCCTGCAAGAGAGATGCCAAAATGAAGCCAAGGTGTTTACAGAAAATAAACATCAAGGGTGATGATGACATGTTTATTTTCAAAGCGGGAGACCATTATCCAGTCACAACATTCACTTCTATTATACTTATTGCAACTGTTCCAGACCCAACCTCATTGATTTCTTTCAAAGAGTAATTAAAGTAACATTTGTGAATAATACAGAAGACCAACTGGAGAAACTGCTGCAAGAGAACAATCCCCCAAAGTGGTTCTGTGGGAGCATTACAGCCTGATTAGCACAGGAGGTTTATTTGATGCTTAATGAATAAGAAACTAGTGCTGGTGAACTGTAAACCTCTCCAGTACTGGTTGACTTTTCTGGTGCCCTGTTTAAAGGCTGCGTTAACTTGCAGCAACTGACAGCAGTCCCCAAAGGCCATTACCACCCCGGAGGATCAGGGAGCTCTGGATGAGCTCCAGCCCCACTCCTGGTCTTGGCAGCAGAGCACAGTTAGATGCTGAAGAGAAGCCAGCATTGCAAGGATCGTTCTGTCACTGGTAGTGTCAACTTTAGGCTACCTTTCTGCAGGAACAGCATGGAATTTTCTTTACGCAACCTGTAATGTCTCCAGATAATTTCTGATTAAAAAAAAGTCATGACGTTCACACTGATGGAGAAATGACATGTGATTCTCAGATTTCCATTTTCAGATATTAAGATAAGTATATCTTAACAAGGTCTGATTTCTGGACTCAGTTCTGGAAAATTGAGAGTTTTCCTGCTTTTTATAATTCAGGTAACCAAAAGTGAAGCCACATAAAAATCACTGATTTGGGGAATTTTAGCATTCAAGTTAGCAAGGTGACTTCAGTGGAGTGAAGCTAGTAAAATGGCAGCCTGAGGGGTTTTGCTGAAAACTGAAAACATGAAAGTTATTAAAAAAAAAAAATCAAATTTCTCCACTGACAAGTGGAGGATGGAGGGTACTGGTGGCACTGGGCTTCCCACAGTACGTCTCTGCTTTCACCTGAAGCGGCTGTCAAAGACTGCTTCAGTTGCCACAGCTTCTTGATCCTTATTATCTCAGAACATTAAAGACAGCATCACAATCAGTTGCATGGACTAGCTTTCTGGTTACTACTGTTCTGAGAACCTGACTAAAACCATTGCAGTTATTTCATGTAGATCATAGAATGGCTGTCAGATGTCAATAGCTTCAATTTGTACTGAAATAAGCATGCTTTTGAATCGTGATGTTGATGCAAAAACCTCCAGGTTATAATCCTACAAGCTATCCCATAGTATAACTTTGGTATGAAATATGATGCACTGGACTCCCGTAGACTTCTTGCTGTTATAAAGAGTGACCCAGGCAGGAAAAAAAAAAAGTTTTCATCGTGCTTCAATTCACTTCAGGAAGTGCCCTCATATTACCTGATGTTTGCAGCTCCCATGCTAATGGGAAGATCTTTGTCACTTCTCCATAAGGGAGATCCAAAGCTGTGATTATTAGCTAAAGATGGAGCCGTTCTTATTGGGCATAATCTGAATTTGTTTGTATTTACTGTAGAGGTCTAACTTCAAGATTTGAACCTTTTCAGAGCCAAGTTCAGCATTTTTGATACTACTGTGACTATCACTGTCATAAAGAAAGTAAAGAAACAGAAAAACCTCCCACCATGGGATCTCCAAGAAGGAACCGAGGAGTTTAAAACACGTGTCTAGGGACTTTTTTCCTCGTAGCACACTTTCCATTATAAATCAAAACCAGCAATTCTTACCTTTTGCCTAGAAACCATCCAAGATTTTATTGTTGGTACCAACAGACTGCCAAGAAGAATCTGAGCAGGATGATAGATGAGTAAGGGGACGGAAATTAAGGACAGGTGCTCATAACCCGCAAATACTATCTTCAGCATTGGAATCCCTGCAGGCAGAAAAACAGGAGACACACTCTCACCTCAGACTTTGAGCTCCAGATAAAAGCAAAGCATTTTATGTTGCATTGACACTTCACCAAAAAAAGCCCAAAAGAAACAAAATGAAGACTCAGAAGTTTTGTATAAAAAAACCCCAAACCCTACTCAAACAAACTAGCAAGAACATGAATAAAAAAAAAAAACACAGCAGAGAAAGTTCTGTGGCAGAAAGGAAGGAGCAGGGGAATGCCATAAAAGATCTTTTCTAATTATGCCAATAGCTGTCAAACTCCTGCTTAAGACTTGGTAAAAACCGTTCTGCTATAGCATGACTGTTCGGCTGCTCGGCATAGTTCTGTACTGCTTATTTACTACTTCCTCTTGCTGCGCTCTGTTTCGTGCTTTCATGATTGTCCTCCACCCAACCTGCCCGACTCCTGCTTGTACCCTTTCTTCAGCCCGTTCACCACTGGAGGAGGGTTGCGTTTCCCTGGCATGCTCCCTGCCAGGTGGTGCGTACCCAAACGACAGCCTTCCCTGCTTTGACTGATTCACCCAGCCCAAGGTATAGAGTCAAGTACTCTGCAGGGGAGTGCTCACCTGTTAGAGAACAAAACTCTCTGCTCTACCTGTATTTTTCAGAAGAGATACAGCATGAGAGAGGAAAGGTTTAGTGAACCGAGTGAGCAACATGAAGTGGCCATGCCTATGAAGAGTTAAGGAGCAGCTGGGGTACAGAAGTTGCTGGATGCTGGAAGGAGTAAGTGTTAAGAGCTAGAGAGGGGCCTTTTTTCCCCAAGAGCTTGAATTTGCACTCAGCAGTGCTAATTCTATTAGACATCTCCACGTATAATCTTCCCACTTGATGATGTAATATGTAAAATTCAATGTGATTTAGTTTTGCAGTAATGAAACCGATTGTTTACTTTGAACATGTTATTGTTCAAAATTATCTGTTTAGATCTCGGAACTTTGCTACCATGCTCTCTACAAAGCATAGGTGTGGGCAAAACTTGCAACCATCTCTGTCTTGCTTGACCAGACATACGCACAGCTGCTGAAAAGAGCAGCTGCGATTCCTCAGGAGCCCCCTGAGAATGTACCTTATTTTCTCCCTCACCTTAAATGTTATTCTAGGAATCTTCCACCAGCATCAACCTTGCAGCGAAGCAGACTATGCACACTTTTCACAGAGCTCATCTGTGCGTCTCCTTTCTTAGCAATGACCAAAAGCCTCGCTTTGTGCCACATGCCCTCTATTCCCCCATAAGCGGACGTTTCAGATCAGCCGAAGTTGCCACATTTACATAAACTTTTGTCTGTATCTTGGATAAATTCCCGTTCTCAACACCCTTTCAGGTTTCCCTCAATAAAAGTTGCCTCCTCCTTGTGTGAGAAAACAGCTTATTTGCTGAATATTTAGCGCTCCACCAGTGCCCCACTATTGCTGACACGTGTCCAGGCTTGCTGAAATCTTCATGATATTTCCACAGCACCATTTCTTGTAATCATTTTGATTAGCTTCATCACATTACACCACTAACAATCTCCTCCCCATGCTAGTAGCCTTTACTTGTATGGATATTTCCAGGGAAAGATTAAATCAAAGAAATACAGGCTTGTGTGCTTAATTTCAATATTATAATTACCTTCAAAACAACATCATGGACCTATCACACAATAGGTCTGCTTATTATTAACACTAATTTCTGTAGCTTGGGAATAGATAGTATTTGGATAGAAATTAAATGGGCATTTGCATTATATTAAGGAATGTAATTTACTTCAAATGTCCATCATACTGGTTTTGTAAACAGATAAAGGTTTTATTGCCCGTTTCCAAGTCTCAACTTGACCCTTGTGGGTCCTCTTCTGTTCTCTACCTGTAGAAGTATAAACTAGAGTCCCAAGCTATGAACATTTATGTTTGTAAGACAGTACCCGGTGTTTTGGTAGTACAATTTCATGTATAGATCCAAAAACACTTTAGTAAGCTGAACAGGACTCCTACAGAGAATCAGAGAACACTAAAATGACTAGCCTAAGATCACACAGAAAACTAACGGCAGAGACGTGAACAGAATGGATCCAAAGCGACTGAGACATGCTTTAAATTAATGCATATTTTCTGAACTGAAAGAAAAAAAAAAAGAGAGAAATTCCAGCCTAAAAGGTAAATTCTCTAGAGGAAAGCTATTTCAGTAAACCAGGAAAAGAAAATTAAAGTTGTCAAATATAAATACAAAATACTATAATTAGTGTGACAATATAATTAGATCACTGGGTGAAAAGAGGTTCTTAATTCACAGCTTGTTTAAATACGTGTCACAACAATAGGTTCCTGTAAGCCACTAATGTGCAATTAAAGTTCCTGTTATTTACCAGGAAAAACTAACCAGTGAAAAGAAGAAATAATAATAATTTTCTTGCAGGTAAGCATTTGTTTAGTGGAAAGAAATAGCCCTGTTGCCTTTTTACGCACTTTCTGATTTTTATAATTCCAACTTTGCCAGTATGCTACACTCTCAAAGTATTTCATGACAAAGATCCACAGACCACAGTCAGAAATGCTTGTGTCAGTAATATTACCACAAAGCTAAACAAAACAGCATGGGTTTTATTTATTTTTAAAAATGTTGTCTAAACTCTTTCACAGCAATACATAGTAACTGCAAGCATCTGTATAACTCCTAATGTTTTCCAAATACATAAAACTCATGCAAATTCCTTATTAGGAAAAACATACTTTAAAAGTTACTTTTCCCTCTCTTAAAAGAAATATGTAACTGTATTTTTTTTTACTATATATGTAGAACACTTGAAAAAACCCCAAACAAAATGAAAACCAAAACCCAGGCAAAGGAAGAAGAGTGACGTTACAATGCCTGGAAGTGATGCTATAATGCCTGGACTGATACTGTATGCTGTATCTTAGCCCGTAATGCATTTTCAAGACAAGATTATTGAACAAGCACTAAGAGAAGCTGTAACAGAAACACTGACTGAAACAGTAGTGACATGAACAGGTGCTGCTATAACAAAACTAATAAAGTGAGTGAGAGGAGTTTAAATCTTTCAGATAGATAGCAAGGAATGAAGGTGCTAAGCAAAATGGATAGGGTTATCTTTATTTTGGGCTGTCCACTCCTCTTTTCCTCATCTTTTATAGTATATTGCTTCCAGTGCTAATGGAATACGATAGCTACACTAAGTCTAAGATAAATAAAATTTTGCACAGCATCAAATCACATATATTAAGCCCCAGACCACTACCTTAGTCTTAAGTTCCTTCAAAGTACACAGCAGCTCCACCCCCCACCCCCCCAATATTATTAGGGTGTTTATTTGCCATCTGGAGCGTTAAGGCTGCATTTACATGTAGAAGAATAATGCCTGTAAGGATTTTTTGTTTCGTTTTCACAGAGCCATTAATCATGCTTATCTGCATTTCAGGGCGATTGGCCTCATTTCTATGGGTCTTCATCCTGATTGACACTGGAGGAGGAACGCTGGCATTATCAGTTTATATACACAATCTTTTCCTTAAGTTTTCAGACTGCTGTCATGGTCTGAAGGCTCATGCCACTAACACCCATTCATGTCCAGCAGCTTGGTTCAACTCCTCCGCCAAAGGCGCTCGCTCACTACGCATCACGAGAACAGCATGACAAAGTGCTCCTCTGTGGTTTGGTGCCAACTTGGGCAGCTTTGCTCAAAGTAGGGGTGTAACAAGCTGTTGAGTTGCCAAAACCTTTTAAACAGCCTCATTGCACGAATGTGTGTCCAACTCGTGGATCAGAGCTGACCAAACACTCTGACAGGCACAAGTCAGGGTTGCATCCCCTCCTCCTCCCGAGAAAGAGGAAATGTGGTACCCAGCTGGGTGAAAAAACAGCACCTCACCTGACCAGGACTACAGAGAGCTGTAGCAAGAGAGGAAGCACTGAGATCATCCCACAGATATCTCTTACAAATAAAATCATTGGTATTCCCAGCTTTTTACCCTGAATTTCCCTCTTCTTTGTTTGGCTATGTTTCTTCTACCAGTGCTCCCTCATGTTCCCATCTTCCTCCTTGCTCTTTGGCTCCGGTATTCAGAGGCTCTTTTTTTGTATTTCCTTCCTTCCTCCTTTTCCCTCCTCTTCTCCACTCCCATGCTTCTAGTCTGCTTGGTTTTGCTTCCCAGGACCTTTGATTCTGCTCACTTTGCAGCATTGTGAATTTTGGGGACTTCCACTAAAATCACTAAGCTCCAGTAAGCGCAGCGGGCACTAAAATCACCATCCCGCTGCAGCTGAGAGACGCGAGTTAGGCTGCGATACAGAGTACATTTCATTTTTCTCTCTGTTTGCGTCCTCACTCAGCCCATTTCACGTAAGAACTTTGCAAACCTGAGGAAGAGCTAGGAAGAGAAAAGCTGTTCATTCCGTGACCTTCAACAACGGCAAGAAGAGAAAGGGACTGCTTTTACAGTCTGGTACAGAAGAGCCCTGTTCGCTCTCCATTGATCCGGGGTATTCCAGTTTGGCTCCAAGGCGGTGGTTTATCGGCCCTGGTCAAAGGCCACCGTTTCTCTAGCAGCCTGCGTAACTGAAAGCTATTTATCCTTCCTCCAGCTTTGCACCCAGTATAACCTCCCACATCCTCCCCTTGCCCCTTTGCTACTTTCACATTTCGTAATCACCTTCTTAAAAGGCCCATGAAAATATTATGCTGCGCTTCACTACATTTAGTTAACTGTAAAATAATAATAATAAAAAGTCCTACAAGATTTGAAGGTATTTTTAAGAGAATTTAAATATAGGACTCTTTTCATCTAGCTATCACTGGAGTAATATAAATGAAGCAAATTAATTTTAATGCTCCAAGGTACTGATTCTGTGTCACTGTCACTGACAGGATCCAACTAGACTTTATGAGATGGCATTTGACTTTATGGAAGTGAGCACTATGCACGCATTTACAATTTTACAGGGACTTTAAGCTGTCATGCTGAAAAATGTTTATA